ATGTGGCACATAACATATGTGAAAAAAATCTTAAAATATGCGCATATATTTGCGCCACATATTCCTGGACACCCTAAATCGCTCGAAAGTTAAATGTCCAATATGCTGCGGATTACTGTAACATAAAAATACAGATAATTTTATTTATCATACGAAAAGTATATGGAAGTTCGGACTTCAAAGTTTATCACGAAGTTTGTCAAAAGTTTAGTAATAATGAATCACGATATAATAATATAGTTTCTTGTTCTCGTCGTATAAAATCAAAACTTTTATTTTTCGCTTTACCTTAAAAGTCTTTCAAGTTTACATAATGTCTTTTACAATCTGGGTTAAATATAATAATGAACAGTCAGTTAGTATCGAATTTCAGAAAGGAACAGTGGATAAGTTGAAGGATGCAGTCAAGCGTAGACTAACAAGCTTGGGTAAGGAGAATAATGGTAAGATTATTCTTCGAAAACACGGAGCTACTGTCGATTTAAAACCAAGTGAGATTGTAGACCAAAGCTTTGTAAACACTGACAATACACCTATTCAAGTTTTTACCATCGGTAAGCCTTTGTGTTGGTCAACACGAACATGTAATCTTTTTGATAATTGTAACGTCTGCGCTGTATATTCTAATCTTATACCGTTACTTTAGTCGTTAAGACCACCTTCCTTGTTCAAATCTACGATAATGAGGGTAAACCATTGTCGGGGAAATTTGCAAGTTATACGATGCATAATGATAACGAATATCGTCTCTTTTTGAAGAGTTTCAAAGCGAATGGTTTGGAACGTATATCTGATACCAATGAAGTACCAACGGTTATCACCTCTTTAGGAGATATAGTATCTGGTGAACGCTATCAAATAATAGCTTCCCATCTAACAGCAATCAAAAAGAATGTTGTCTGGGCTCAGGTTGAGGATAAAGCAATGGAGGATGAAACGTTATTAGCTGTAAAGAACTCTCTCAACAAAATGTTCAAGTTAACTGTAGAAATATTTCCCGATCGAATAATGTATAAGAACAAAATATCGATAATGGAATTAGATGGAATTCTCATTTGTGGCAATAAGGTATTCTTACTTGAAGCCAAACATAAAATGACGGCCGTATGTATAAAAAAATTACCATCTATTATGAAATTCCTGTATTTATTGATAGCCTGGCTCACTTATAAATCTTGCATTCAGGAACATGTAGGAAACCTCATTGATCGATTAAATGAATTCCCAAAGAAGCTCGAAATTACGGATAGTTCGGAATTTAAGAAATTGTTGGGAAAACAATATGTTGGGGTTGCTTGCGGTACATTCTTTACTAATGAATTGAGGAGTATATCAAAGGATAAAGGGCTAATAGTTGTTTTTCCGAGTGGAAATCGATATAAAGCAGAGATGCCTCAAGAATTGATGGGTACTGTGAAAGTTTGTACTTATTTGTAGAACTAATTAATGTGATTACTCTGTGGTATATATATATTATTAGTTTTTCCATATCAAGTCTTATTTTTTAATGTTTATACAGTATGATATGGATGTATTAGGAAATAAAAAAATAATATAAATATAAGTATATCGATCATTGTTAATTTTTTCTTGACGAAATTTATCTATTTTTTTTTGCATGTTGGTTTCTAATGTGTGCAAAATTTACTTGACGTAGTACAAATAAAACATCGAGTATCTTTTAGTAATTGTCACAGGAACTCCCGTCTGGCAAGCAATTTTGCTCGCTAGAGCAATAAGTCATGAAAAAGAAAGTACCACAGACTGCGCTGGGCTGTGCAACATAATATTTCACAGATTTTTCCTCGTGGCAAACCATCCAAGAAAAACTATCCTCCCGTATGAGAATGTGTATGCTAATTACTGTAATTTGCAAGGGTGATTAACGAAATGACGAAATGCAGTGCGTCATTAAATGGAGATCTCGGGACTGTTAATTCAAGCGCTATAAAACAGAATGATCATTTTTTTTGCTCAAGACTCTTCAGCCATATACGAAGACGGTATGGATAGAACACAAAGTAGCGCTCGCAAAAAATATCCTCTGTATGACCCTTGCTATGCATATCAGTATCATGTGAATCCATGCTCATTATGTGGAAAAGAGATTTATTCACTCGCATCGAACCCGTCATACAAAGAATTTACCCTAGCTTCGTGTGGACACATCTTTCATCAGAAGTGTCTCGAAAAGTATCTGGTGAATGGAGAAGCGCGATGCCCGAATAAGGATTGTAATAGAGATATTGAAACTTTTCTCTCTCCGGATCTTTTTAAGGAAAAGGGATCGCAAGACAAACTTTCAACTACTGATGAAAATATCACCTCCATGCCGGTGGATTCGGAAAATGCAACTCCTGTGGATGAGGATTCCAATGTAACTGTTATGAAGGAGTTAGAATTATTAGGCGGAGAGGAACAAAGTTCGTCCAAGACTACTGGGACCACTAAAGAAACTTTTGACCAGGCAACCAGCCCTATTGAGGTTGTTAGCACTACACCCGGCAATTCTGAAAATTTGGATGACTCGATTTCAAAGGATACTAGCGGACAAATCCAACGCCCTATATGTGAGAAATGCTCCGAAGAAATCTACCTAGAATTCACGAAACCAACCATTTTTTTACCCTGCAAACATGTTGTGCATTATGATTGTATTAAGGATTCTCGCAAGATGTGCCCTACCTGCTCTTCGTCTGAAATGATGTCAGAAATATCAACTCTAGTAGAACCGGATCTGAGTGATGCACAGAAAAAACGTACTAGGGAATCATCTACCGAAAAATCCTCTAACAAGAAAGTGAAAAAGACTGGTGGGAAGAAAGTATCGAGTATACTAAAAAACTTATTGAAGAATTATTAACTGATGTGGTATCAGATGTAGCTGGAGAGAACTTGGAAGAAGAAGCAAGTGAAAACGAAACCAGCAATTTTCTGCAACTATACGATAAGATTGATAGCGCTGAATCTAAAAATGAAGATGCATCTCAAGTATACATGAAGTCGAAATGAAAACCCAAAAAGGCGAAATGTTTTGACTTTGGAAGTCAACGTCGAAATGAAAAGTCGAAATGGTCGAAATTACGTCATATCACATGATTTTTATATATAGAAAAAACAAAAAAAAAC